AAGAAGAAAAACTAAACATCTGCCTCCTCCTCCGACTGGGTCTCCCCCCTGATTGATCATCATTTTCACCTTTCATAGTCGGGGCGACCACCCGACCATCAACCACCTGATGGAAAAGGTCGATCCCCTCGGTGACGAGTTGAACCTCATGATTCACAATTTGAAGTTGATCCAAAGCGTTACTGAATCCTACCTCGAGAGCCTCAAAGCAGTCCTGCTCGAGCTCTCAGATCCGAGCGACCAGGTCAAAGTGAGTCACGAGGGCTTTTTCCTCGTCAGTTTCATCCTTAGCGGGGTGGACAGCAACCTCCAATTCAGGAACCCTGGCTCAGAGTTGGTTCCTCTCTCCCTCGACGTTCTCCACCGTTTTCTGCATCTCGACCATGTATTGGAGAAAACCAACCCAAACCTCATACTTTGAATGGTAGTCGAAAAGGTTGTTCTTCGGTTTGTTCTTTTCCGTTCAAAGGAACATATTCTCATCCCGCAACATCTTCAGCTCGGAAGTGGGGTTGGTCACATCATTGAGGACCAAGACCGTCTCGAAAACCCTCATCATGACGGCTATGTCCTTGCACAAAGCCTTTCTTTTGGTCGCTTTGTCAACACCCATAATTGTATTGGACTCTGTTGCTGGCACGATCAGGGAGTTGTCCCCGCTGAAAAGTCCCTGATGGAGATGACAAGGGGGCAAAACAAACCTTTCCTCGATAACGCCCATCGGTGGGTTGCCTCTTGGACAAATTCTCTTGCAAATGAGGATACTTGCTGCATTACGGATGCAATGGGGAGCCCTAGGATGTTGATCAGGTTTTAACATCTACTGGACCTGGGCAACTCGACCTTTGGTAGCCTTTTTTCGCACCCTTAGTCGTCGCGAGCTTCATCACGCGTTCCTGAAGGCTCGACATCTGGCTTGTAACAAAGAAAATAACATGTTAGTGTCGTACCTCGAAAAATATGATCCTCGCGATAGACGCTGAAAAAACGTTCGAACAGAGTCGCCACCTAACAGAGGCTGAAGCACGAGTTTATATGCACGTAAGAATGGACTAAACAATGTTCTTTGCGGAAAGTTGTTTGAGTTGTGGATCACACGGGGGCAAGGAATTAGTGTTTTGGAGAAGTTTCAATCGCACAGGGCCGAGAATAGAGAGTTGATTTATTGAGTATTTTTTAAGGAGAATGACGAATATTCGATAAACGAGATGTCAACCTCGCAACCAATTAATCGAGATATTATTGAGATGTTAGACCCCAACGACACTATTTTCATTCTATTAGTTACAAAATAGTTTGAATGGTCAATGAAAGTACCATATGGATTGCTAGACTTTAATGAAATTTCTTTGTCCAAATAATTAAGGCAAGTATTTTAAGGACGAAAGGTCGAGCAACCCACAACGCAAGACGTGTTCCCCAAGAGCGATCACTTCAAGAATTCAAGGAATATGTGACTCCAAGAATTCAGTTCTTATGCAATTTGGTTAGGAAAATGATTTGAATAGATTAGCGTGTATTAGGGTTTTAGATTGAGAAAAGAGTTTGATTTGCGTAGGTTTAGGATTTCGATCGCACGGGGGCGAGAAAACAAAGTTAGATTGGTTGAATATTTTGAAGGAGAATGACGATTATTCGATTAACGAGACGTCAGTCTCGCAACCAATTAGTCGGGGAATTATTGGGATGCTAGATCCCAACGACAAATTTTTCATTCGATAAATTTACGACATTGTGTTTGTATGATAGTGAACGTCTTTGTCCAAATAAATAGGGCGAGTATGTTGGGAACGAAAGTTCGAGCAACCCACAATCCAAGGCGTACACCACAAGAGCAGTCACTTTATAATTTAAGAAATGTGAGACTCCAAGAACTCAGTTCTTTCGTAATTTGACTAAGAAAACAATTTGAATCGATTAGCGTATTTTGTTAGGCCCGTTAGGTAATTCTGAACGAATTTAGTGTTTTAGAAAGATCATAATGATCACAACTCGAGGCGTGCGCCCCAAGAGCGATCAACCGAGAATCCAAGAGGTGCTAGACCTCAAGAATTCAATATCTTCATTGTTAATTAAGAGAATATCTTCTGAGAAAGTTAGATTAAGTGTTTCACTTGAATTAGGATTTGCGTGGATTAGAAATTTTGAAAAGAATTAAGTGTCTTGAAAGGATCGGGGGATTAAATACCTTAGAAATGAAAGATGGGACGAACGCAACTCAAGGGATGCGCCTCAAGAGCGGTTGTCTAAGGATCCAAGGAGTGCTAGACTCCGAGAACCCACTACTTTCATTATTAATTAAGAAAAGGTTTTAAAGTTTTTATCAAAATGAATTATGATTTTAATTAGGAAAATATAGGTATTTGTAAATATTAAGTATTGAAAAATGTTTAATATTTTAAAAATATTTTAACTTAATTGATAAAGTATTATTTTTAAAGTTTTAATATTTTAATTTAAGAAAAGATTCGGATCGATGGAAAGTTCTTAGAGATGAAAGACGAAGCGAACACAATACAAAGCGTACGCTTCGAGAGCCTTTGTTCAAGAATTCAAGAAGTGCTATACCCCAAGAACCCACTACTTTCGTTAATTGATTTGGTTTGAAGAAAATACTCGACGTTTGGTCGAGATTTAATTGAAAGATATGTAATGAAACCAACTTACACAGAAATTCAAAAATTTTATCAAAAACTTACAAATTTAGATTTTGTTTCAATGTTGGATGATGTCTATGATATTGATTGAAAATCCTTTGAGCTTGATTGTTTGATTGAAATTTTTTTGAGAGAGTTTGATAAGCTTTTGAATTTTTTTTAAAAATGAGGAAGGAAAATGATTTTGCCGCGATAAGCTCCAATACCTTCCGACTTAATTGCAATTTTTGTCCGCCTTTTTTTTTTTTACTTTTAGTCTTCCTATTTTGAAATCTAAAATTTATGTCCCCCTATTTTCATTTTTTTTTGTTCCCTTTATTTTAAATTCGAAATTTTGGTCCCCTTATTTTTATTTTTTTTAGACTTTTGGTCCCCTTTCCCAATTGAAAAGGGACTAAAGCCCAAAACAAACTTAAAATAAAAGAACGAAAAGTAAGAAAAAATAAAAATAAAAGGACCAAAATTCTGAATTTTAAAATAAGGGGATAAAAAATAAATAAAAAAATTTGAAAATAGGAGGACCAAAATTTCAAATTTTAAAATAGAAGGATTAAAACTAAAATAAAAATAAAAATAGGGGAATCAAAATTGTAATTAACTCGTACCTTTCGGAGATGTATTTCCAAAATAATTTTAAAGATACGTCTCTGAAATCTTTTAACATTAAATTATAATTTGATGCTTCCAAAGATGTATTTCTAAAATTTAAAAATATTTTAGTATTTTTACATGATATGTATATAATATATAAGATACATTAACAAATTCCATAACAACAAAGAGGGCCACAATTTGAACATTCAATGGTAACGAGGGGGCCAAAAAGAAGGCCCCTTCTCCAACCAGCCTCATCTTATAATTCACAGCCCCACGTACCTTAAGAACATGGACTAAATTATTGCACTCTTCCCTACTTAAATCTTTGTATAATTGCACTCTTTCTCTCATTTCAAACACCATAAAACCTTTTGTTGAACAAAGACACTTCCTTGTGCTTGAAGCAACAACATAATCAATCCTAATTTAGAAAATTCAGCAACTTACCAAATATAAATTAAAGCCTTCTTTATCACCACTCATCATTGTCTTCAAATCCAACCAAAAGAAATAACACGTGGGTTGCAATATTCTGTCCCTCTTCTCCATCATCCAAATATTCTCATCCTTATATTAACTACCAACATAGATAATAAGATAAGGACAGTTTCGTATGGATATCAAGATAGAGTCAGCAAAGTGTGAGTGTTGTGACTTGAAAGAGGATTGCACTCAAGACTACATCAGTGAAGTGAAGTCGAAATTTGGTGGAAAATGGTTATGTGGGTTGTGTTCAGAAGCTGTTAGAGATGAAGCAATTAGAGGTAAAAGGATATTTGCAATGGAAGAAGCAATAAAATCTCACATGTTGTTCTGTCGTAGGATAAAATCGAATCCTGCAGTTTGTGTTGCTGATGGTATGAGACAGATGCTTAGGAGAAGGTCAACTGAGTTGTCTTCATCAAACAAACACAGTAAGAAGTCAACTACAACTTCCTAAATTGATGAAAGAAAAACAGGAGAGATTGGAAAGGTTGAAACAGGACACACCATCGCTCTGTTTTTTTGGTATGGTTGGAATCATGTTTAGTTGCCTTTTTGTGGCTATGTTTTTCATTTTTGTCTTCTTGTATAGTGACTGTTACTTTACATCAACTGTTATTTTGCTTTCCTTTGTGTTTCTTTTCAATTGGTAACAGAGGTAATTTTCAAAAACAAAAAATAAGTGAATCTCAATTTTATTCTGTATGAAACAGAGCAATAGCCATTCTTTTCTAAAACTTCTGCCATTCAACACCACCAAATGCTTCTCATAGTTTACTTTTGTTGAAAAGGTGTTTTTGGGTTATCTTATACTTTGCTTTACATGCAATATATTTGTTCAAAGTAGGGTATCGATATCATCATCTTACAAAAGTACCTTCCAAATGATTCACATGAATAAGTGGTGTTTGATGGATTTTAATTGCTAGGTCAGGTATTCCACAAATAACAAATGACAGCCACATTCTTAAAATATAGTTTTCTTTAGATCCTTGAGTGAGATCTTAGGTTACTCCCACTAAACAAGTTGGATCTATATTTTATTAAAGAGTCAACATAAATCAATAACCAAAATCATATCACAAAAAAGTATTTTGTAGCTTTTAATTTTCAAGATTTTTTTTTTACTATATTATATCAACTACAGTTGGAAATTCAATTGAACCCTGTTCTTTGAACATCAGAAACCGACACTGTATAACAAACATTGTACATATATATAAGGGTGTTGTTTTCTGCATTCAATTTACTAATACAAATGGATCACCAATAGTCTTTACAAGAACAAATACCACTACTACAATGGTGAAACCTAGTCCTATCTCTCACAACGATCTCTACTTGATACACCTTTGAGACTAACTTCATAAAAGAGTGACAGTCCTCACATATTCTAAGATTTTTAACTATGTGAATGCATGATTCTTTCCTCTTACTAATTAGCCCATAGCAAACTGCTAACTTTTCACTATGCCATAGAACCAATTCTTTTTTATCTTCCTCTTCTAAATCAATCAAAATGCTTGAGGTGCTCGGTTTGTAGCCGACCAATTTCAGTTGACTGACTACCTCATCTAACTTCTGATATATTTCTTCTGATTGTTTATGATATCTATCAGCCATCATAAATGTATGAACCTCATTGTTTATTTCAACCCTACTACACGCCTTCTCTTTTGAGATACCTTTATAACTCATTGATTTTCTAATCAGTCCAACATCATTCCATCTTCTTTCTTTGGCATATATGTTTGACAAAACCACAAGAGCTCCATCGTGACCAGGCTCTAACTCAAGAAGCCGTTTGGCAGCGAATTCCCCTAACTCAGCTTCACCATGAATTTGACAAGCAGACATAAGGGATCCCCAAATGATAACATTCGGCGCTAAAGGCATTGTCTCAATAAGCTCAATAGCTTTTCTCAAGAGATTGGCTCTACAATACAGGTCAACCATGCAACCATAGTGCTCATGGGTAGGAGAGATGTGATGCTCATTAATCATGGATGAAAACAATTTCTGGCCTTCCTCAACTAAACCTGCATGTCCACAAGCATAAAGCACACCTATAAATGTAACACCATTGGGCTCAATATTTTCATCTTTCATCCTATGGAAAAGGTTTATAGCACTATCTGCACTCCCATGCATTGCAAATGCATTGATCATACTAGACCAAGATATCACATTTTTTCTCAGCATCTTCTCAAACACCTCTCTTGCCTTGACCAAGTTCCCACATTTGGCATACATGTCAATTAGTGCATTGTTAACCGATAGAGCTCTTCCAAACCCATTTCTATCTACATAGGTATGAATCCATTTTGATTGACCAAGTGCACCAACATGAGAACAAGCAGAAATGACACTCAGCATTGTGATCTGATCAGGCACTATTCTCAGCCGTAGCATTTCATTGAACAATTTAAGAGCCTCTTGAGGCTGATCACTTTCAGAATAACCAGATATCATTGCACTCCAACATACAAAGTCCTTTTCAATCATTTGGTCAAATATGAAACGCGCATCCTTAGTCATTCCAAGTTTTGCATAACCAGAAAGCATTGCAGTTGAAACAATCAAATGTTTCGACGAGAGTCCATCATATATTTCCCTAGCCAACTCCATTGCACCACAATTTGCATACATGTTAATGAGAGCAGACTGTAAGTAAGAGTTAATAGCAAGACCATTGTCCTTAACAAACTCATGGACTGATCTGCCATATCTTAAATTTCCAGCATGACCACAGGCAGAGAGCACAGTACAAATGATAACAGAATCAGGCTTCATACCAGAGTTTTTCATATCTTCAAAGAGCCTTAAAGCATCATCATAATGACCATTCTGGCAGTACCTGTTTCAAAAAAATCTTAATTCAGAAAAGAAGCAAGTTGATTGCAGCTAAGTACCGAGCCTTTGTTTAGATAAACAACTTAATTAAGTCTTTTTATAACATAAGTTGTTTTTATAACAAAAGAAAAAATAGAGTTAAAATTATTTTCATATAACTTACCAGCTGTTTTTATAAGAAATCCTGGACATGTTATGGAACTATATGGAAAAAGCTTAAAGACATGTCATAAACTGTTTCTATAAGCTCTCTCAAACAGCTTTGCAAGTACTTGTGTTAGTATATAAGTTCAAATAAGCTAGTAGAAAGGGTTCTTAAAGACAAAGATTATATATAGCATACCCATCAATGATAGTATTCCAAGCAACAGCATCCGGGTGAGACATTTGATCAAACAGCAACCGTGCATCCATGATGCGGCCACACGAGGCATACATTGCAATTAAGCCAGTTTGAATAAAAGGGTCAGAAAGGAAACCGAGCTTTGAAACAAGGCCATGAATCTCCAAACCATAAGTGAAAGCGGAAAGTTTAGAAATAGCTTTCAACAATGGAGGGAAGCTAAAGGTGTCGAGAGTGAAAGCATTAATTGTTCTAAGATTGAGATATAAGAAAAGGGTCTTGTCAGGAAAGGGAGAACGAGAGAGATGACGGAGGAGTTGGTTAGAGAAATGGGTAGGTGGGTTTGGGATTTGGGAGAAAACGGAGAGAGCATAGTGGAGGGTTGAAGAGGAAGAAGAGAGGGTGCAAGAAGAAAGGACGAGTTTGGAAAGGAGGGTGTTTGAGTTTGAGTTGCAGTGGAGAATTTGTGCATGGATTTGCTTGAGGTGAGAAAGTGTTGTTGATGATGAGAGTAATGTTTGCAAATGATGATGGCTGTGTGGAAGGGACATGGTGGCCATTGCCATGTCCATGGACATTCAAACAAAGGTAGGGATTACTTTGGAAAATTTAAAGGATCAATTTGAAAATATTTAGAATCAATTTACAATTTGAAAATATTTAGAAAATACTAAGGGTTTGATTCTATAGATTACATTTTTTTACAAATTTTTTTCATTTCTTTCTATCATCTAAATAAATTTAATATACATATATTATTTTTAACCATTAAATTAAAAAGAATTAATAATCAAGATGTGAATTAAGTTTACTATGGGATGTAAATTCTTATCATTTTAATAATTTTCCAATTTTTTTATCAATATAATAAATTTACATTAAAAATTACATTCTCTCAAGGTATTATTCATCATGTACATTACTATAGTCAATGCAAGGATTAATCAATTTAATTTTTGTAAAATACATTTTATAATATTATTTTATTAATAATTAAAATTTATACGGAAGTTACGTGAATCTCATATAATTTTAGTGAATCATATATAACATAAAAGAGTTTATTAAGATTTGAAGAGACTATTTTGTTTAAAAAAAGTATTGATAATTTTAAAAGATTTTATAGAATTGTATTGACTTTTTCGATTTTTTAAGATTGTTTACAATCAAGATTTTTCAATTTGAATTTTCAAATGATCTACGCATCAAAATTTTATAGTACTTTATTGAATTTTAAATTTTGAAAGAAAAAAAATCAAATGAAAAACAAAGAGTAAAAAAAAAAAGACAATGAATAAAAATATTGCTTTCTAGTTCAGACCCAAAGGTTTTTATAAATACTCCAGCCTTAGGACTGAGGAGGTATCTCCAATTTCTCAAAGAAACACATAGATAGAGCTTCTCACCACTATACATAAACAAGTCTACGTGTTGTTCAAATTTCCTAAACACCAAAAACAACTCTACAAACACATATCTACCTTATTGTTCTTTTTCTTAGTAAGTACAAATATATTTTAAGTAAATTTTTTGTAATTAATAACTGGATTAAAGTAATCTTGAAATGATAAATTATATTAAACCTAAGATGATCACGAAGTTAAACTAAAAATTTATAAGGGCTGGAGTAATATATTAAAATATTTCACCTCCAATAAACATCGTGATTGAATGTTGATAGGTTAGAGTAAGCCTAAGGCCACAAGTCCGGACTAATGGATTAAATAAACATGGACTTTGAATTAATGTTTAGGACCTAAAATGCCAAGTCATGTAGATTTAATCAATTGGAATCCATTTATTTTACCTAAAATGCCAAGAGTAAAACCTCATCTTACCACATTTATTTTATGGTCCACTAGCGTCCAAACGGGCACTCCGTGCCCGTTTGTCCGCTTTTTTTATTGCGCTAACGCGTGCAATTTTTTACGGTGTTTTTGACATATATTCCATTAAAAATAATATTATTTAGGAACAATTATAAAAATAAAAATAAAAGTATAAAGATACATATTAACTTTCAATATGTTTTAGTAATGTCTTCGGATCAAAATATAAAGATACATATTAACTTTCAATATGTTTTAGTAATGTCTTTAGACCAATTTAGCAATAAAAAAAAAAACTCCAAACCAATTTAACAATGCAAATTTAAACTTAAAATTAATTTAATAATCTAAAGAGTAGAATGTGAAAATTAAAACTTATCAATACATTAAATGTTATATAAAATAATATTATTTACACAATTTAAAAAAACAAAAGTAAGAAAACAACCCATGTATGTTGTTTAATGTCATACAAATTATAAATGGATATAAAATAACAAAAAAATTAATATTCACATATTTTACCATAAAAGACATTAATAATGTTACTATTACTTTTTATACTCGATGTTTGTGTTCAATAAAAAAAGACATATATAGAAAATAAAATAATATGGTAGTTGTTATTTGTTTTTGTAACTTACCGGTTTCTTATAACTTATTTATGAATGTTGACACTAATACGTGTTTCCTCTCTCTCTCTCTTTTTGTCACTTCCTCTTCGTCTCTCTCTAACTCTTTTTTTATATCACTTATCAGTCTCTCTACCTCTCTATATATCCCAATCTCCTTTGCACATGACATTCATTTGTTCCTATTTTTTTGTTTTGTTAAGTAGTTAATGACCGGTTATCATTCAACGAAAAATCATGATGAAAATATAAACACAAATACCTTCAATCTTTAAACAATATTCAACCCTTAATATCATTAACATTATGTTATACAAACTGTAGTTTTGTATCAATAACATTATACAAAAAAAAAAACTCTAAAGCCTGTATTTAACATTATCTGATACAAACTGTAACTTTTTTTTGTGAATGTGAGTCTTATAGATGACCAAATTAGAGATTATTCTCAATAACAACCTACATAATATAATTAAGTATCATATATATGTATTTGAATATTTTAAAAATGATTAATTAGTTTCTGATGCATTGATTAAAAAGGAAAAAAAAATAAAAATATATAATTCAAGTTTGTATTCCTGAGGAGTTGAACGGTGTTATAGTAAGTGACTTGACGGATGAGAATGATGCGTGGGACACGAAGTTAATGCCATCATGAATGTCTATCGAGATAGATATAAATTAATGTTTACATCACACTGTAGAAATTATACAATTTAAAAATTAAGATATTGTTTATATTTTAAAATTTTTGCAAATTACACAGGTAAAATTGGAACAATAATAGATAAAGATTCAAGAGAGGAAACAAAATTTTAAAAAATTAATAAAAATAGTCATTCTTATTTAATCATAGAAATTAAGACGCGCCTTTTGTTTCTTTCCTAAGAGATAATGATTCATTTTTCTTCTACAATGGAGAGAAAATTTAAAGTATTAGACATTTAAAAAATTCAATAATCTCAACTTTCAAACCCCAATTTTACATATGGATTTGTTTATTTAAAAAGAACAGAACAATAAATAAATAATCAAATCAAAGAATTAGATTGAAGAATCTAAATACCCTAATAATCAACTGTAACATAAATCATTGTCTGATTCGCAATTCATATTATGTCATCTGCAACTTGTAGATTTCTCTTTTCTACCATCATCATGAACATTATTTGGACTCCAATTTTCCTCATGCAATCTTCCGTCTTCTCTATTTTTGATTTCTATGGACCTAATGAGTTAGAAATGAAAGACATAAATTATAAGAAGAAGCTATTTAAATATAATTTTTAATTAGAAGTTAAAGTGAGTTTTCTTTTCAAATAACTAATTACTTTGTACAATATTCAAATATAAAATTTAGGGAGTAGTTAACTTTTATTTCTGTAACTTCTAAGTAGTTTTAAAGGGTAAAAGAGGAAAGAAAATAGGCTACACCAAAAAGATGTTTTGTCTTTATATATTGTTATAGATTCAAAATAACTACTATCATTTAATAAAAACTTCATTTTTTTATTTGTATTTTTGTTTTTAAAATTAACTAAAATTAAATTTTAAAGGATAAATTATTTAATTTTAATTTAATTATAAACTATTTATAAAATAATTAAAGATAATGATATGAAAAATAATAAACTGTTGGCGGTTAATAAACCTTTGTGTAACCGCCGTTGTGAGAAAAAAAATAAAAAATTAAAATAAAAAATTGAAAAGGGTAAATTTGGAAGAAAAAAAAAGCTACACCAAAATAATCTATTGCCTTTATATATTGTTATAGATTATCATTGCATAATCACCAACTAATACTTGAAAATAAACATTTTTGAAAATACAAATACAAATTAGATAACTTAGATGGTGATCATTGTATAATCACCGACTATTACTTAGAATACAAATTACACAACTTAGACGATAAAAAGATAACATAATAATAAATAAAAGAGAGTATCTTCTTCAACCTCCGAAACTGTATAAAGTTCTTCCTAGTCTTTTAAGAGTATACACAACATCCATGGCAGTCACAAACTTTCTTCTTGCATGATCAATATATGAAGCAACATCATGAATGATTTTTGTCAAGAAAACCTTGAGAAATAACCTAGTTTTTTCATAGATCAAACCACTTATCCTCTTGACACCTCCTCTCCGCGCAATCTACGAATCGTTGGCTTTGTAATTCCCCAAATGTTGCCGCGCGGAATCCTCATGTGCCTCTTTGCTCCTCCCTTTCCGGGCCCCTTAATACCCTTTCACTACTTGTCATTTTTGTAAGAAATTTTGAGAAACGGTTTATTCTTTTGAATTTTGAATGTGAAAAAGTAGAAGATGAAAGGGGTATTTATATATCATTCTGAGAGGGAAATGAAGAAATTGCTTATCCTCTGTCGTTGGATTTAAAGTAATAGACGGTTTATATTTGACTGAGAATTTTCAAAATTTTTTTAAATTTTTTTTAAAGTAAAATAAAATATTGCTTAATCATATTTTCAAAAACTGTATTTTAAGAACTACAACTAATTTTTTTAGGCAATTATAACTCACTTATTCGTACAATTCATTAAATTGTATGATAAAAATTATTGATGATAATGATCAATAATTATTTAACTTTTTAAAAGATAATATGTAATTGTGATTATTTTAAGTATGTAATTTATCAAAACATAGAGTATACGAACTTTATAATCATTATCATTCAGTTTTATTAAGAAAAAACTTTGGATAAATTTAGTCATAAATAAAATACATTATAAATCTTCAAAATTAAAACAATTAAATTATATAATTAAATATAGTAATATTAGTTGAGTACGAAAGTTGTTATATGTTTCTATTTCATTCAATAATAGGATTAGTGAGCTATATAACAGTTAATCATTTTTAGAAGTTACTATTATTTTTTTTATTATTATTTCTTATTTAATTAATTTAATTAAGTACGGAAGTTGTTACATGATTCTTGGAATTAGTGGGTTACTAGCGTTCAGACGAGCACTCCCGTGTCCGTCTGCTTTTTTTAATACGCACAACATAGAAAAATAAACATGTGTATATTTTGTATGCGTTAAAATATAAATCGTTATTTTTTTAAAAAAAATTTGTGATATGTATTCATGTATCTATTTGTGCATTTTTAACACGCACACTTGTAACATCTACATTACATTACATTAATCACCTAACAACATCTACATTTGTAGTGTGTAGTGTGTGCCTATTTGTCCATTTGTGTTATGTACTCATGTGCCTATTCCTCACGCGCGTCTAAATTTTAAACAGATATTTTTTATTAATTTCGATTTAAATTTAAATTATTTGTGTAATAAAATTTGTGATGTGTATTGTTATGTTTGTTTGTTCGTATTAAATATATTTATCTATATATCTTTTTCATTCAACTTTCTAATAAATTAACCTTTCAAAAAGCATCTTGTAACCTTAGTTTTTTCATAGAACTGTAACCTTAGCTCGTTTTAAAGACGTGGTAGTATTTTCATTATGTTGTTGTCACTTTAAAATCATTGTTCACTAAGAGCATCTTTAATGGGAGTAAACTAAATGGGTAAACTAAGATACTTTGTGTGGGTCCAAAGTGATTTGTAGGATTTAAAAAATTTATAGTTGATTTGAGTAGTTTTTACTTTAATGGTGATTGTTTATAAGAAACCAAAACTTGACCCCACATTTTATATTTTTTATTCAAGTTACCATTAATTTAATTATTTTAATTAAAATACATATAATTTTTTAAATAAAATTTACCTTAAAAACTTAAAAATAATATTAAATATATTTTATTATAAAATTAAAAATGATACAAAATTCACAATAATAATACATAAAAAAATTACATTTTCATATAAATATAATTATAATAAGGATTCGACTGGTTGGAATCCATTTGATAAATAAATAAGATTGGAAATTGAAAGAAAAAAATTTAGAAGTAAAACTGTGTGTAAAAAAAATTAAAATTTCTATAGAATTTGTAGAAGGTAAAAAATGATAATATGACCGTTACTATTTTCAAATATCATATCCTTACTTTAATGTTGTTGGAATATTTGGAATATTTTATTAATATTAAATAATATTATAATAGGTTTCACATAGTTAACGTTAACTATATAGACGATGGGAACTAAATTTTAGTTCATTTGGATGCCATGTCAGCTCTCCTATAATGCAAATTCCTTATTACTAACGTAAGCTATAAAGAATTTTGGTTTAACAACTCTGCGTTAAAGTTGCTCTAATTCATACTTTGTATATTCACTTTATCATATTCATTAATAAACTGACAAACCATTAATGATACCTCTACTACCATAAAATTGAATACACATAGAAACAAAATTTAAAAGTATCCTTAAGACTTAAACTATCCATTCATTTAAGGATACATATCACATTCATTCGTCAACTATACACCAACACAACAATGCAAAAAAAATCCAAAAATTTCACATGATTTTTTTGGATCTAGATGCTCTCTCACTTCTTCCTTATATAAAACTTTTCATTTCACTCACTTCCTCCTTATATAAGACTTTCTATTTCACTCAAAATCCAAAAAAAATTAAGTCTATTTTTATCTTCATCCTATATTTCAACATTTAATTATAGTTTATTCTTTTTTTCTCATTCTTTATGATAAATTAATAATAATAACTTTGTTACCATGAAATTGAAAAGACACAAAATTAAATTGAAAAAGGATTGTTGAGACAATTTCTCTACAAAGACAATTTTCTCTCGAGTAGCGTTCATTGCCACAAAAATTTCACATTACAAAAAGAATAAGTCTGGAAATTAAAAGTAGCAAAAAACATAAGACATATTCAAAACTAAATTGTGCAAATATGTACAAATTTCAACATCAAAACAATCAATTAATATACTTTGACATTAGAAGAACGAAACTGATGATAGAAGTTGCAACCATAATATGAAAGACAAAATAATAATAAATAAAAAAAGATGAGAGAAGAATCGGCAGTTCCATAAACCTTGGCAACATGAGTGTTTTTTCTTATAAATTTTCATTTATAAAAAATTGTGTATTTGATTTAGAGAGAAAATTATTCATTGAATTTTTGTTTTGCTTTATGAAGTTTATGTTTTTATGAAGTTATATTTTTCTCTCTTCGTTATAACTTTCAGATAGTTATTACATATCTCTAGTCTCTTTTCCACAATAACCTTTAGGTGGTTACTGCATGTGGAAGTTACTTAAATTAATGATTTGAATTGTAAAATATGAAGTAAGTGAAGGGTAATTATGGAATAGAAAATAGGCCATACCAAAATTGTGTATTCCCTTTATATATAGTTATAGATGTATTTTTATCCATTGAAATGTATCTATTATCAAGTACTTCAATTATTATAATAATGTATTTTTATTATTGAACTCAAGACTTAACATTAATCAAGTGTGAGTTGAGTTTCCACTATTGATGATTAATTAGATATGGACTTGTTCCACATCCTTAATGATATTTTCATTGTCTTCAACATTATATACAAAGACATATATCCTTGTCAATCCTTTCATCAAATAATTGCAACATCTTTAAACTCTAACAAACTTTGAATTAGTTATTCACATTAAGCATATCGATCAAATGTATTTTATGGAATAAAGTTCCATTATTTATTCTTGTGCATTAGAAAAATAAAAGAATGAATTATATATAATTTTTGGCACTTGAAACAAATAATTTTCGTATGTCTTTTATGCCTAACAAGTATATCTATTTATAGAAAAACTTGTACCAATTGGTGAGTAAAAACAATATTTCAGCGCCATGTTGTTTCGATAACGCACATTATATACCTGTTTGATATTTGAAACACTTTTTGGTCTTTTTTGTTTCAAATCTGCAAGTATGTTTTTCAGCGCCACCCTGATTAAAGACATGTTTGAAATAATTTTTTTCTCCTCTTGTTTAAGGCGACATACGATGGGATGACCGGCTAGCTCAGTTTGCAAAGCATGATTATGTATATCAAAAATCACATTAAATTTTCATGTATCATTCACCTTACAGTAGTATTCGTGCAACTTAAACAGACACTCACATTTTATCGATATGGTGTTATCACATTTCAACTTCCAAATCAGTGGAACATACATAACATTTCTCTTGTATCTCATTGTTGCAAATGCTTGCCTTCTATTTGAACCACTGTCAGACCTTCTGATTTCAATGTCAAATCCCAATTTACTGGCCTCCATGTGTACTCATTCAAGCATATGTTCACAAGCAACAAATAGTTGTTTATTTCTAAAATGTTGACGAGCATCTATCTTGCCAACAACCGGATTAACATCATCCTTCACTTTATCAGGTTTAACATCATCCTTCACTATGTCCAATTTCACATAATTACTTATAGAAACTTCGAGAAACATATTCGGGTGCACCATATCTAATACGAACTAAAAAAGAAAAATAGTTTAAAAAACTAACAATAGTAGTAAAATCCAAATATGCACATCCGAAGCATGACCAATTAAATCCAGAAATGCACATCCGAACGTAACATACATTTTTCCAGCTCAATAACAAGATTAATGCAAGCGATGAGAGATGCAATTAGTGGACTTTACCATAAATTGCAACTTCTTTTGCTCCATTTTTTTTTGTGATAAAACATAAGAATGATTATTTGGAGTTGAAAAGTTGATTGTGAATGAATTTTTTTAATGGTTTTGAATTATGGAAGCGATATGAAATGTGAGAGAGATCATCATGCAAGGTGGTGTTATATTCAATTTTTCACTTGACATTTTCGAAAATGCATTTTTGAAAATGTCACTGAATGGTTAAATAAACCAACTTAATGAAAAATGCAAAATAAATAGGATTCATAGTTGTTTTCAGAGATATATCTCCAAATATACTCTAAAAAGTTTCGAAAATACATCTTCGGATCATTTTTTTTTTCAAAAACACCTATTAATAAATTTAAATTTTTAGTGATATAAAAAAGAAATTACCTAAAAATAAGAGTTGCATTGACAATATACCAACCAAAATTTAAAAAATCACATTAGGGATAAGTTCCAAAATTAATATAATTTTCTTAAAGAATTATGTTAGTCTTTTAAAAAAAAGTTCAATTAAAAAAATTCTTTAAAATATTTTGTAGAGACCAAACTGACCTAATTATGAATTTGCTCCTTCCGATTCCAATTTCATGTTAATAGAGAACGATAAGCAGATATCAAAAGGAACATAATGGGCGAAGCATTGTTCGATCTCGAGCAACTTCTCATTTCCAAAAAGGTACTTTCCATTCCGTTACGAAATTCATCATTTATCTGTATATCTTATTAATGTCAATGGATCATTATACTGAATTGATTCAGCTTTTTATCTTACTCGATGAACTTGATTGCGTGCTTTCATTTTTCTTCATAGGAAAAATTGACACCTCAGGAGGAAGGTATTCTTCAATCATGCAAAGGTAAAGCTGTGAGGAATTTCACTGCAAGTTCACTTCTTGGAGGTGCTGCTGTATGGGCAGGTTTGTGATTTTGCTTCTTTCGAACATGATATCTTTAATGTATGCTAGTTTTAAGCTGTGTTGTCAATTGCGGATATTTAAATTTCGGCTTTGCAATAGGGCTGTAGCGCAACTACAGTCACTATTTGATAATGAAACAACTATCACAGAACAATTATGGGTTTTCTGAATTTCGCTTCGTTATAGCTATAGCCTCTATTTAACAACACTAGTTTTAAGTAAATCTAACTGGCATCTGGTCCAGGCTGGTAGTATTTTCGCCCAATTATTGCATTTTGTCATTTAAGCAGGGTGGTTGAAATGGAAAAGGACATCAAGTGTTTTATGTGATGCAAAGGTAGTTCAAGTTAAAGGAAAGTTTTTATCAGTCTGCTGTAAGACTTGTGATTTTGTACGGGATAGAATGTTGAACGGTTAAGAATCAACACGAGAAGAAAGTAAGTGTAGCAGAGATGAGGATATAGTGGTGAATGTGTGGTAAGACTCGACAGGATAAAATTAGAAATAAAAATATTAGAGAGAGTGTCGGAGTAGTACCTATAATGGAGAAGATGGTGGAAAATAGACTTAGGTGGTTTGGGCATGTAGAGGGAAGACCGGTAGATTCTGTAGTAAAGAGGGTAGGCCAGATGGAGAAAAGGCAAACAGTTAGAGGAAGGGGAAGACCTAGAAAGACTATCAAAGAAGTTATTAAGAATGATCTCGAAATTAATGATTTGGATAGAAGCATGCTCTTTGATAGAACATTATGGCGAAAGTTGATCGATGTAGTCGACCCCACTTAGTGGGATAAGGCTCAGTTGTTGTTGTAGTATTGCATTTTGTCATTTAGCTTTATGTATCTTCTGAAGTCACGTAAGAAATAAATGTTCTGACATCATATGTTGGAATATATAATGCATATTATAACAATAATATAATCAATATGAATCATACACTCATGTCATGAACAATTAATCCTAGATCATATTTGCAGGAATTTAGACCACAATATAAAATGAAGAGAAGGGAAAATAATACTTATCTCTTGAACTCTTTCACTTTAAGTTGGTTTGCTTCTATTGAATGCCAATATAAAATGAAGAAGAGAAGGGAAAATAATACTTATCTCTTTCTTTCCCAATTCTAGATGGGGTAGATGCAATCACATTGAGATTTTTCTCATTTTATTGCCAAATGTCTCGAAACATATTTTTACACTGAAAATGGAGAGGGGACATAATCTTTTATGTAGGATTACATAGTCTTTTATGTAGGTATCAAACCTTACCTTTTTCACGATAAATTGTAATGGTTCCACTCATTTTGGATTCATTCAACTATAGACTGCATTATTCAAGCATAGTTACCATTTGATGTCCAATATTTGGTGATCACGAGATGAATATTCCATGGCATGTCACTGTCAATATATCATTCAACCAATGTTCACTAAATCAATGAAAGACTAACACTTGGATGTAAAGCTTCTAAAAGGAATGATTTCTACAGAATTTCCAGTGTGTTACTGCTCCTAACACTTAAATTTCAAAACAATCACGCGTTTAAACTTAGTCTATCTTTCTATAAAAATTTGTTTGTGGATCTTTCAAGATAATGAACATATATGTAAACTTGCAGTTTTCTAGAAAATGCCAGTCATTTATAGATTTGGAGTATAACCTCTATCTTTCCTTTTTTTTTTTAATTCATTGAAAAATTACTTTGTGGTGACTGTGTTACTGATAGATGACGTGTTCGTAATAATGAAAGTTAACTTAGTTATTACCTTAACATCATGATGATGTCATCATCTTTTACTCCTGATTCTAGAGATATATGAGCAGTAAGACTTTTATAATATATTTATTAATTTTAGTGTAGTTTCAACAGATTGACCTTGTTGCTGACACCACATTGTTGATTTCTTTTCCTTTGTTGTGACTTCTCTTCCATGCTGATAATCACTACGTTCCTTTATGACAGCAACCGGGAAACTCGGGAAAGCATTTCGAGTAAACCTTTCAGCAGGCAAGAGAAATTATGTATTTTCCCTATTTGTCCGTTGTCTACTAAAGCCTTACTTTATTCTTCATGTTTGTTGTTTTATCCTTTTGCAGGAGCTGGTGCTTTCTTTGGACTGTGGATATTTAGTAGATCCTTGTTTTCTTGTGCAGACCATATTCTTACACTGGATGGCAGTATATTACAGAAGGAGTTAGCAAATATGTTCGTCTTCTCATCCTAATTGCTTGCACTTGATGAACGCTTTTGGTTTGTGCAATAAGCTCCAATTACTATCATATTTTCTGACATTCTTGAGTATGCATTTAAACAAATTCTCATTCATGAGTTTGAAATGGATCTTCTCCAGTAAGTTAAAAAGAAAATAAATTTTGATGAGAGAAAACGTAAGAGAGAGATGAAGAGTTTATTATGAGATGTAGAGAGTATGGAATTGATGTAAAGGATCCAACCCTTTCATAAGTTAAGCAGAGCCAGTCAGCTAGACTTTGGTTTATGGTGCCATGTGCCATAAGTGACTGCAGAAATAAAACTACAAAGGTCCTGTGTGTGACAAGATCATTGTCAAGTGTCGTTTCTTCTGTTTGGACAGAAGTAGAAACTAGCTTATTAATTGGAGTGGTATTGATAGCCTGTTGCAAGATAAAGAAACCTTGTGATTCACTTGGTAGAATAGAAGTGATAATGATGGATTTTATGAGTGAGGAAAGAGCTATTCTTTCATAGTAGACGCCTAGACGGCTATTTCAGGTGAACTGAGGATAGCATGGTTGTTAAATCACATTTGAATTGCAAAGCTTTACCCCATCTACAGTTTCCAGTTTGTTAAAGATAAATCTATAGTTAGTTTAAAAAATTTGTTATGGGATTAGGCGGATGTTGTCAAGATTGTGATTTTACTAGGATCGCATGATCCTGTTCTGTGACCCCATCTCTATATCGCGTCCCTGGTTGAACCAGGGATGAAGAAGCAGCTCCAGGATTGTGTTTTTAGGTTGTAGGATCGGTGGATTGAATGAGGTGGAAGATCCTTGAAGAACAGGGATGGATGGGTTTCGGGTTGGATTTGGTGGTTGACCCAGTTTGTAAAGGAAAGTAATCAAAATCCTAGTTTTAATGGTTCAAATTTTGTGATCCCTCTCTCCTATTTCAACTGGAGCTCCATCAGCTGCTGAGACCAGCATCGCTTCCACCCTACGATCCTTGAGTTATTATCTTTTCACCTCTCCCAATCCAAAGTAGGATATCTCGAGTTTGACAATGGATTTAACTAATATATGATAGTATCATCAATTATTAATGTTATGTATGACTTTTAAGGATTTGATAATGGTGGAAGTTATTCCAAATTAATTAATTGAGGTTTAGTTTTCTCCTCTGCTGAAGTTTTCCACTATTCTAATTGTTACAGACCAATTTCATTCCTATCTTTTGTTTAGTTTTGTGCCTTTTGGAATTTGGTTAATTTTATTTTGGCTGTTGTCTCACTGGCAGCTTGATAGGCAGATATAATTTGGGCTTTGAAATCTAATTTCAACTTGGCTATTATATATAATGTAGTCATAAAGCAACACTTTCTGCAAAATCACAGCATAGAATGTAATTTATGCTAATTAAGCCTACACAAAGAGCTAGAGTGAGAGCGGGTGTAGAAGCAAACACCAACCTCCACTAACATCTGAACTTATTGATATATATGGCCACAAATAACCCTGAATTTGTTAGAATGGCCCATGGACCCCTTAAGCTGTGTAGCTTGCTTTATCACTAGCTACATTCCTAGTATGGAAAAAAAGTGGGGTTGATGAAGGGAGAGAAAATGAATTTATTTTCTGTGGTCTCTTCTACTATCTGCTAATCGTTTTACTTATATTTATTTCATTACATTCTCACCCGTATATTTTTGTTGTTGCTAAATGATAGAATGGTGACAAAGTACCAGAATGACCCTTCGCTAATGAAGCTTATATCTAAGCATTTTTATTCGGAAAGGATTTATGATGATTCTACCTCTAATACTCCTAAATTACGATGGCGATACCGTAATTTTTTTAGCGATAATGCAATCAATGGAAAGAGGACACATGATCATGGCTCATATAGTACATCCCAAGGCAACTCTGACAATGATTCCTATGATAAATCCCAAGGGTATTCCGATTCCTTTGAAAAATCCCAAGGCAAGTCTGAAAATGTTGCTGACAGCAGAAAAACAACTCGTGGGACCAAGCAAATTTCCCAAGGCAAGTCTGAAAATATTACTGACAGCCAAAAAACAACTCGAGGGACCAAGCAAACTTTTGTAAGTATTCTCAGTCTTCCCTTTACATACTCTGAATTGGTTTTTGTTCTTGAATTAATTAGATAGATGCTTTTGATGGAAGTGGTTACTAATATAAACTTCCCTTGGGGCCATTTTTCACCTTGGCCATCTCATATGTGTTTGGAGAAGTGACTGTTAAACTTAAAACGCTGGTGCTGAAAAAGTTGCACGCCTTTCTAGTGTAATGTGTGTTTTAATGAGAAATATACTTGATCTTAGCTGAATTTTATTGAATGGGCTGCTTAATTTTATTGGCTTTACTGGTTCTCAAATTTAATGTAGCACAGTATATCCATTAAGTTCAGTAAGAAATAAACTGGCTGACAATTACTTCAGTTCAACTCTTCACTTCTCAGACCTTGGGAAGATACCAAATGTAAATAAAAAACAAACCACAAAACTGAATTTCTCTTTAACAAGAAAAAGTAGAATTTATTAATGTTTTATGTACAAAGGCAATTGCATAAAATGTTCATCGAAAATATTTCTTTTTCTGTCAATTAATGAATGAGCGACAAGTTCTTTTGATCTTCTAGTTATTACGCAAGCTCACTCCTCTTTTGCAGTGGTAATACTAATGCGAAGGATGGACATATCTTTGACAATATTTTCAATAATTGGTGCTTTTTAGAACTTGTTCTTGTCTGTAACAAATTGTTGTACCTAAAACTAGGCTATAAAAAATCGCTTTACTCCAGTTGCGCGGTCAATTATAATCAAAATGATGAACTACAATGGGATTTCATTCGTATCGTGATATTTGGTTTCAGCTTGTTTTACTTTTTTCACACCTCATTGCAGATAAATCCTGGTTCTGATATCATGTCAGAGGTAGACCCTCTTGATTGTCTTTTTGGTGGTGTTCCAGTAGAGGAGATTCTTCATCCTAATACCACAAACAAACCATCAGCAACTCATCATCGAAGCCATAGAAGATATCACCGTAGGCGTCGAATGCGTGATCCTGACGACCTTTCAAAATCAGTTGACGCAGCCGCTGTTTGATGTGAAGGGCTTATGTAAAATTTGTGCTTTTGTTTTCTTAGCAACATTCAGATCTCATCAGTTTCTGCAAACGGTATTATGAAACTGGAAAGGGGTTCCTAGTGCCTTAATAATATGATATTTTAAGATATGATACAGATTTTTGTTAACATGACTGTTTGAGTGCTTTTCATGAGCCAGAAATTGTATGTATCACCGTTTACTTTCCCTTGGGCGTTTTTATCAGTACAGAACTAGTGACCACTTTTTTGTTCATACGGCATAGGCCCTCAGAATTCAAGGTTAGACGCAAACACATCACAACCACAAATGATTTGAATTTAGAAGCACACACATGATAAATAGTAGAAGAGGAAATAATTAGCTTATTATAGTTGATATAATAATGTTCTCTCAATTTTTTAAAATCATTTGTATGCGTCTAAATTCAAATTATTTATAGTTGTGACCATACAAATCTTGCTTGGTAGCAAAGATAAGGTGGATGAGGATGTCTAGTCTTATCAAAAATCAAAAGACAGCATGTGTCATACAAGCAATTGAAAAATGAACATGTTTTGTTCATTGGGATTAATTCAGCCATATAATTTGCATAAATTTTAAAATGAGCATTGCGAGAGCGAAATGTAATGAACCAAATCATAATTATAGTATGCTTAAAATTCAATTGTTATACCAAAATAACTCAATTGAGTTGGTTTAGTGGATACTATTATAATTCAAATTGAATGCACTAATCTTGTTCTCTTTGTTGTTTGGTTTTTCCCATTAGAATGTAACTTTTGTACTTACCTTTTAAAAATGTAACTTTTGTAACGTTCCCTTCCATAGACAAAATTGTTTGTGATGCATTTTTGTTTTCTTTTCGGGAAGAATCATACAACCTTCCTTCTCTGTCTTTACATGTCATATCAGACTCAGAAGGCAATGTACTTGGATGCTGAATTTTTCATTGATCAAAGACAGACAAGTTTTGAAAAGAAAAAAATAAAGAAGTTTACAAGTTTTTTGGCATGTTTTTTGAGCTCCAAAGTAAACTATTAGTCTTTTTTATTTATTTAATAAAGCTCTCTTAAATTCATGACCCTGGAGCAATCTTTCAGAGATGTTTTGAATCATTTAGTTTTGTTAAGAGACAAAAAAAACGGTGTGGCTCACAACATGGTTCATCAAGTTATCCTGTTTTAGGTTATGTGCTATCATGTATTGCTTCTCTTATTATCAATAAAAAACAAACTATAAAGGCATATCATCCACATGTTTCCCCCCCCCAAAAAAACTGTAGGTAACAGAAGTTGGATTAAAATAGATCATTCCATTTAGCGGAAATATAATAGCAGCATTCAATTAAAGTTTAATTTAAATCAATTTTATAAAACTGACTATCAAGATAATGTCTGTCTTTAATTATGAATATATGTTAAAATTATATATTATGCGAAGAATCATGTCAAATTTGATTGATATTTAGATGGGGTATTGAATATTAAATTCTTTACAATTTTATTCTTGATTCTACTAACACTTGTCCATTGAACACTTTAAAAGATGCAATATTTTCATAACTGGAAATTTTTACAAAAGAAAAAAGAAATTGAAGATGAAAATTATACTTAATCAATTTACAAGAAGTGCTAAGAACACTTTATTTTTAACACCCTCTCTAACACTCACTTTCTTATTTTTATATTGAGTGAAATATATGTAGGTCTCTTAATTTAAAAATGGATCCCACGTAAGTGGTAGGATTCACATGTGTTCCATTCCATAAAAGAGAGTATTAGAAAAAGAATTAAAAAAAAGAGTGTTCATAGCATTTTTTATCAAGTTAATATTTATATCCTCAACTCTATCTTTACAAGGGCAAAGGTCATAACTAATTGTCATAAAAATAGAAATAGAGGTGGTTATAACAAATAATTGACCACATATTTGTATTAACTAAAAAAAACTAATCAACTATTTAAATACTATTTGTATTAACAAACATAAATAATCAATGATGTTTATCACCCCCTCAAATTAGAGTGGATGTTGTGCAATTCGAGTATTTAAAGTAAGGTAGTGAATGGTCCATAGTGAAACACTTTCTTAAAATATGTCTGCGACCTGATTTGTTGAGTGTATTGACAACAAATGTGTAATTTTCTTTTAAACTTTATTACAGACAACATGACAATCAATCTTAATGTGTTTTTGTATGTTCGTGAAAAACATTATTGTTGGCATGTGTCTGACATACATGTTATCATAGAAAATAATCATAGATTTGAGGTGATGAATGCCAAGGTCATTAAGGAGATACAACAACCATTGAGTCTCGCAGGTGGTGTTTGTTAAAGCATGATATTTTCCTTTCATGACGATCTGGAAAAAATATGCTGTCTTTTGCTTTTCCAGCAAATGAATGGACTTATCAGGTAGAAACAATAATCAATAGTAAATCTTATGGTGTCATTGCTAGAGCCCCAATATGAATCAATAATGTTCGCCAGGGTATGAGAGTAGTATGTCTTGATTAATAAACCTTGGGTAGGAGCTAGTTTGATGTATGTAAGAATCCTGAAATTGACTTGAAAGTGAACATTTGTTGGAATGGAGAGGAACTAACTTAACCTGCAAAAAAAAATGCTTATGTCAGATCTAGTGTGAGTTAAATAGAAGAGCTTACTTACGAGACTTTGAAAGAAAGTAGGATTTGAAAGTAGATTTTCCTCTTGTAAGAGCTCTAAGTTATACTTCATTTGAAAAATGGAGATGCCTTGTAAGGATTATGCCATTTTCAATCTTAAGAAAATACTTCAAGTTACCTAAGTCTTTGATATTGAATTTTTTTCATCTAAGGCGAGGTTTAAATTGGAGATGTCTTTCATTTTATTTCCTACAATCATTAAGTCATCAACATGTACTAAAACAACAATAATACAATTATTGTTATTTTTGTGTGTGAATAATGAATGACTAGATTTAGATTGTTTGTAACCTATGCCAAGAAGAGTGGCAGTAAGTTTATGGTTCTATTGCATAATGACTTGTTTTAAGCCATAAATGGGTATGTTTAATCTACAAACCAAGTTTTTATTTGAAAATTTTAGTCAACAAGGTCATGTTTATAGGCAAACAAGGAATGTGATAGTCATTTTGAATAGGGGTGAGCAAAACCTAACCCAATCTGAAGACCCGTCCCAACCTTATCGTTTCGGGTTGGTCTTTTTCTCGTCTTATGAAAAAAATGTTCAGTCCAAATATGAACCCGCTATCAGGTCGGGATGAGTTCAAGTTGACCCTAAGGTTACCCGACCCGTCCTAATATTATGCATGCACATGTAATACTATTTAATTTATTGATAGACAAATCTAAATTTTCAATACACTTTGCACACACTTTTTTATTTTTCACTTTATAATTTAATATATGCACTCAACACATACACACTTTTTCACTTTTAACATTCACATTTCTTTACGTCATATTTTTCCTATTTATTTCCATCAATGTTTCATCTTCCTATCTTTTTTTAACAACTCCAAAATTCTTTTATTTTCTCTTGACTCTATCGTATCTTTTGGCTTCTTGTTATTTTTGTGTGAGTTTAATTCAACACATTCCTTTGACATCAATTTTATAATAAAAATTTAATGCTAGTACCATTTAATAGTTAAAGATCAATTCTTTTGTGCACACAATACAAGTAAATAAAAATTTCATATTAGTACCATTTTGTAATTGAAGATCAATTATTTTGTGAGCATGACACAAGTCAATAAAAAGTTCATGCTAGTAGCATTTTACGCATATCTATGATTTACATATATGTTTTAAAATTGTATAATTAATTTTTAAGACACTAAAAAATCAATTTCATATATTTTGGGTCAATTCGATATCATCTTATATTAACCTGATAAAAAATAAATTATAGATTATCATATTTGTTTGAGTTTAGGGACGAGTTGGGGTAATTAAAATAGCTCGATCAAAATTTAGGACAAAATTAGGGTTGGTTATAACTCTTTCTAACTCGTCCCTCGCTCACCCATAATTTTGACAATTAGGCTAAAATTTTCAAGGTAATTGATCCCTTCAGTTAGGTTGAATCCCTTAGATAATAAAAAAACTTTGTACCTTTAAATTGTCCATTGGATAAAAAATTATTTTGAAAATCCATTTGCAGTCAATAGGTCTTTTGTTAGAAGGGAAGGAATTCAATCTCATGTTTTATTATCAGTTAGGGTTTTAAGCTAATGAAATCAATGTTTAAACATAATCCCCACAACCGATGATTATACATCATTAATCCAACAAATAAAAGATACGTAACAATTAATCAAGAAAATAAGCAAAACATAACGTAATCCCGTCATCCCATGTTACGTATCAGAGCGACTCCTAGGAATCGATCAAATAGCAACACACTTCAAGCACTACTTAGGTACCTGGTCATCTGCACTCCCCAAGGAGCACAAACGCAACTAACAGAAAAGGGGTGAGAACTACATTCAATAAATAAGCGGTGAAATACACATGCTAAGGAGTAGTTACACACCACACACATAATCACACACATATAATGTACATAACATGTCATCTCAATCACTCGACATTAATAGCCCATAATCAAATACAAATATGTAATGTGACTCACTGACTCGACACAATGCATGTGGTACCAATACAAATACATACGGTTCACCCTAGAACCCGATTCCGTCGGAATTTGGATAAGTCGTATACGTTCCTCCGAACTACAACTTATCTCCACAACGACTTCCACATGAAGTCCGGATGAACTAGACACCCATCATGGATTCCCACCTAGTCATCTCCACAAGACACATGACATGAAATGCATGACAACACAATTATGCAAATATAATAATTTTAAGCATAATCCACGATCATCAATGATCCATACGAGCCATCCGCTCACCATAATTCTCTCGGGAATTACCATCATCACACCAGATCGTCCACACTGGATGGTCCTGGCCCACACATA